AAAACAGGATAATAAAAAGCCAAATTTGATGGTCATAATAGTTAGGTCTACTCAGTCTGTTTCTCTCCTGATGGAACTACGTTAGCATCTGGTGGGTATGATAAATTTATCCGTTAATGGGATTTAAAAACAGGATTATAAAAAGCCTAATTGAATGGTCACACTAGTCCTGTCTACTCAGTCTGTTTCTCTCCTGATGGATCTACATTAGCATCTGGCAGTGATGATAAATCTATCCGATTATGGGATGTAAAAACAGGATAATAAAAAGTTAATTTGACTGGTCACAATGACACTGTTAGATAGGTTTGTTTCTCTCCTGATGGAACGAAATTAGCATCTTGTAGTTATGATAAGTCTGTCCGTTTATGGGATATAAAAACAGGATAATAATAAGGCAAATTGGATGGTCATACTTTTTATGTATACTCAGTTTTTTTCTCTCCTGATGGAACAGTTTTAGCATCTGGTAGTGATGATATGTCTATCCGTTTATGGGATATAAACACAGGATAATAAAAAGATAAATTGGATGGTCATTAATATTATTACAACTCAGTCTGTTTTTCTTCTGATGGAACTATATTAGCTACTGGTAGTAAAGATGATTCTCTCCGTTTATGGGATGTCAAGACAGCAAAAGAAATTCAAGCAACAGATAAAATTTATAAAAATATAGTTGCTTAATTTAAAACACCTCTATTTTAAAATAATCCTTTTTTAGGTATCTATTTTTTTTAATTATTTAGTTTCCAGTTATTCGATTCTTGTTATATCCAAATAAATAAATTTGTAAGCATAAGGAACATAAATCTTGAAAGGAGAATTTATCAATCATTAAGGAAAAGATTTAAGACCATTATTTATATCAAAAGGGAGTTGCATTTTGGAAGGCTTAATGCAAAAGTGAAAATGGTTAATTCATGATTTATGAATAGTGCAAATATATTATTACAATTAACTTCTTATATTTTTTTTAATGATGCCCTTAGCTTTTCTTTTCGTCTTCTGGTCTTTGGGTTTGTGAGATAATTGAAATTATTTATTGTTCACTGTAAAGTAAAGGTTCACCCAAAATTTTGTTCATTAACGCTCAAATATACATCTTTTTTATATAAAAATCAAAAATCAGCTAATGCAAAGGGAATAATTAATTAGATTTCATATATATAAATGATATGGCTTTAAATTACTAATTTCATCTTCTAATAACTTATGGATTTAGAAAAGCCAGCGAGATAAGAACAGAAAGTAGTCAATAATTATAGAATTAAAATGCTATAAAATTAGTAGTTCAGACTAAAAACTTAATTTGATGTAAATTCTCCATCAACATATTTCTAAAAAGCTTAGTATCATGAAATAATTATGCGTGAAATAAATACAAGTTTAAGTTCTATAAAATCAATACAATGAAAAATTTCTAATAGTTGGGACAGTTTGAAATTTCTAATTTTGAAAGAACAATCAAATGAGATTATTGATATTAATGTTATTAATATGCTCCTTTTCTTAAATGAAAAAAATTGATGGTGGTAATGATCAATTATATAATAAACTCATATGATCAGCAATTTAAATTTCCCTTAATAAAATAAATATCATTCTCCCATTTTACAATAAACCTATATTTTGATAAAATTATTGGTTCCAGTCCTAAACATTCAGCCTTATTAGACTTTTCTAATAGTACTCTTTTTTCATTATTCTTATTAAAAATGCCATTTTTCCTTTTATAATTGCATATAATATCTTATTCATCACCCTATGGTATCTACACAAATTATCATCATTCAAAAGTGTTAATAAGAATTTTCTAAAAGTAAAGGTGATGTTGATTACATAAAAGTATTTTACACAAAAAGAAGTAAACACCTTTAAAATTATAAAGTATTAATCTAGACTTCAAAATATATTAAAAAAATTGTATTTTCACTACCTTTAAAATAATACAGTAAAACCTAGAATGATAGAAATATAGTAAAAAATTTATTTTAATATCTTTCTATTTTTAATCTATTAATCTATAATTAATAAAAAAATATTGTTAAAATATCTTTGTAATTAGAAATGATAAATTAATACATTAATTAAATAATTAACGCTTAATGAGCAATGTAACAATATTT